TGCGGCCGGAAAACAGCAGATGTCATGTCTGGCAAGCGTCGCGACCATTTCGGGCAGGCCGCCCTCGATCTGTTCGATCCTGTCGTCGTCGTGCCCCCCCACTACCTGGGTGGCACAACACCCGGTCCGCCTATCCCGCAGCAAGTCCCAAGCATGCCGTTTTGCGACCCGCGTCCAGCAGCACAGGTAACAAACCATCTGCGGACGGCACAGCGAAACACTCCAGTCCCCACCCACTCCCACTCCCTCCGCGCGTAGACAAAGGACCGATCACGACGGTGTTCAAAACGAAATGGCGTTTACAACGAACAACAAAACGATGCCCAACGTCAAACACGAATGTTTCAAAAGAAGCCGGTGCCAAACGAACACGAACGACGGCACGGGGCGTTTAAAACAACAACGATAACCAAACGAAACAATAACGAACAAGGAAACGAACAACAAAACAAGGGCCCACGCCAAGCTAAACAGCGTTGCGGTCGGTCCTTGGCGTAGACTGAACGCTTGCCATCACACCGCAGACAATGGTCCAGGGAAGGGGAAGGGGCGGGGAGAAGGGAACGGGGGGGGGGGAAGAAGGACGAGAGGGGTGGCGACCGGGAGGGGGAGGGCAGGGAAACGGGGCGGAGGGGGGAGCGCAGAGGGAGGGTGATCGTGAGAGGGAGAGGGGGAGGGATCCTCATCGTCGTCCTCTTCGTCCTGATCCTCCTCCTCTTCCTGACTCCCCTTCTTCTCCTCCTCTTTCCTTCATTCCTCCTCCTCCTCCTCCTCCTCTTCCTTCTTCTCCTCCTCCTCCTCCTCCATCCCCTTTCCTTACAACTAATCTCTCCCTGTCGCACCCCGAATCCATTTTGTAGGGCGGGCTGGGCGTTTCGCCTGAGACTTTCTCACCACTTACGACCCTGAAACTTAACAAATGGCAGCAGCTTCACATATGGAGGGCGGGTCGTTTTCGAAATGTGGCTCTTGCCTTAGCGCCGCGCGCATTCGTTTGACAAATGTACAAAGAATTCAGGGATTGAGGGTGGCTGGTTTTCAACATGTGGCTCTCGCCTTAGCGCCGCGCGGTCGTTCTTTTGAATTTAAAAAGGCTTCACGGATCGAAGGCGGGTGGTTTTCAACATGTGGCTCTCGCCTAAGCGCCACGCGCATTCGTTTCAAACGTTTGCAGAAGTTTCACGGATGGAGGGCGGGTCGGATTCAATATGTGGCTCTCGCCATAGCGCCGCGCACATTCGTCTTAAAGATAACAAGTGCTTCGCGGATGGAGGGCGGGCCGTTTTCAAAATGTGGCTCTCGCCTTAGCGCCGCGAACATTCGCTTTACACATTTGCAAAAGAGAGTTCTACGGATGGAAAGCGGGTCGTTGTCAACATGTTGATCTCGCCTTTGCGCCGCGCACCATCGTTCCAAATGTGCAAGATATTCACGGTTGATGGCGGTTTCTTTTCAAAATGTCGCTCTCGCCTTACCGCCGCGTACATTCGTTTTAAGCATTTGCGAGGGCTACACGGGTTCCAATGATCTGCGTACCAGAAATTTTGTTTTGGAGAGATTCAGGGTTATGAGGGTGCAACAGTTGCGTTGATTCGCGGTGTTGAAGTCCCAGAACTGGCGTTCTGGCACGATTCAGGATCGTCAAGATGCAACAGTCAGGTTGACCGTTGACCCCTGGCGTTGGAATCCCGAGAACAATGTTTCGGCATGCTTCAGGCTCTTCAAACGGTTGTCTTCAAACGAGGCAGTCCCCTCAGTGGAAATGAACCGTTGCAGGGGCCTATGAAGAAGGAGCTTGGAGGGAGGTGTTATTACAAAATCGTTTATGACTCTTGGGTTTGCACCGGTCCTCCTCCTCCTCCTCCTCCTCCTCCTCCTCCTCCTCTCCTCAACCTCCTCCTCCTACTCCTCCTCGTTCTGATCCTCCTGTCCGCGCCTGGGCCATGGCCCGGTTCTTGCCTACACTGACTTGTCGCACCTGCATTGGAGCGATGCTTCCATAACATCAGACCTAAACCAGAAGAGCATCCTCCAAGAACGCGAGACCCTCCGCCGGCCAAAACACCTCAAATCCTGAGATCACCCGAGGGTAACCCTCCCCCAGGATGCACAAACACATCCAACAAACACGTAGAACATTAGGGCACCCTCCCCGAACTGACCTCGATCTTATACACGGGTCCGACTGTGCGCTCCCGCATTCAGAAGGAAGGGCCAAACTGTGTCATTCAAGAAAACGAGACCCTCCGCGGGCCAAACTGAAGAACACTCGAGGATGCGATCCCAAAAGATCCACAAGCACGTCGAAGAAAATCAAACAACACTAGGGTACCTTCCCCGAACCGACCTCGTTCTTATGCCTCGATTATGCCGTGGTAAGATGCGCGATGAGGATGCAAGCCCCTTTGACGCCCATGTCGAAGCGTTTCGAGCGCGGATGGCCATCGAGAGCGGTAAAGGATGGACCGAAGAGGCAAGGATGCAGGGGCAACCTTTGGAAAGTTGCCCATCCTTATCATCGGTTCCGACTGTAGGGGAGGGCGGTGGGATCAGGAGAAGGAGGGTGATGGACGAGGGGGGAGGAGGGCGAGGAGGAGGAGGAGGGGTGATATGAAGGGACTCTGGGACACACAAATAAATACATGCAAATAACAGG